TAGTAGTAGTAGTAGTAGTAGTTGTTGTGTCAATTTCTACAGCCCAAATTTATACTTCCTTCCAAGCATTCAACAACATGAGTGTAAGAGTGGACATGCCAGAAAAATGGCCTTCCTCTTATTGACCTACTTTTCTTTAAGACTCCCCCATCTTGAGTCTCTTGGGAATAAGGCCGCATACAAATTGAATAAACTACTACTACTACTACTACTTACTTTAAATCAGTCTGCTGATAAAGTGTTTTGCCAACAAGGGCCATACTGATAGAGTTAAGGAAAAATTTGTTGGGATATATAACCAATCTTGATACTACAGTTCTTTCACTTTGAGCTAGCCTAATATATTTTTTTAAAAAAACAATCTAGACTGGAAACTCGGATCTATGTTATAATGAAAATTAAAAGAACCTTACCCGTTTAGACTTTCCGGAAACTTTATTCTGCAGCCTGCTGCAGTTTGCACTAATCTGATAACTAATGCTCTTAATTGGTTTTTCTTTTTGAAGAAGAGGATGGGCATCTGCTATAGTGACAACACAGATTCTACAAAACAAGAAGTTCTGTTTATTCAAAGCATATTTTTCAAAACAAGACTTCCCAGAAGCACCTGCAATATTTAACACAATTTAAAAATTAATTTTAAAATGAGAGAATAAAATAGACCAATTGTAACAATAAGACAAAAATGCAAAGCGTGAAATTGAAGCATAGAGAACAGGAAGAGAATAGACGTGAGGGTACTCAATATTCTAGAAAAGCTATTATAATTTATTTTAAGAAAGCTTGAGTTTTGTTTCAACGAAAGGAAAAAAGCCACTGGTGAAGGTAACATTGCTATAGTATTTAGATTAAATGAGCTGTCATTTAGATATGCGTCTGATTTATGCTTGCAGTTTTCAATCCAGCAAGGCTTCTTAGGTGTGGAAATGAACTGCAAAAGTTATTTTTAATTGCTTTAGTATATAGAAGGAAAGCAAAAGAGATTGGCTAAACAAGAACAAAATACCAGTACCTTTACTTGGCATGTGTCTTTATGATTATTCACAACATAACTATTTAGTGGCAGGCCAAAACAGAGGCTATAGCACAGGATAGGGATTAAAAAAGGGAAAATAAATTGGAAGCATATTCTGCCAGATCAAAACAGAAGATTAGCACTTTGGAGTGGTGAAAAGCTCTTCAGACTTTAACCACTGCCTTTTGAAAGTGGTCCCTTTAAAACTAGATTTGATACCTGGCTTGTAAAACATGCTAGGTTCTCTTGAATGATGACTGAACAGAGAAGCATTTTTGTGTTAATAAGCATGTAACTTTAAGTCTTACCTGTTAGAATGTTGCAATATGCAATGATCTTCACACTGATTACCTTTTACATCTGGGAAAAGAAGGCTAGCAGTTAGTTTTTGTGCAGAGTTCAGGCTGACTCAAAGTACACAAAACGTTCCAAAAAAGTGTTGTAGCCTTTTAATAACAAATAAGCTTAATTTTAGCATAGGTTTGTGTAAACTAGAGGCTACTTTAAGTAACCAAAATGTTAAATCAGCTGGCAAATAAATGCATGTAACGGGAAAGGAGGGAAAAAGTTACCTATAAATAGCATAATAAAATGCAAGAAAAAGATGAGCTGACATTAATATAAAATAAGGTACATGTAGTCATTGTTTAGTAACTATAATTGGGACCAATAACTCAAATCATTAAGCAAAGTGGTTGACAAGTGAAACCATGACTGAGCTTTTTTCAGCTTTCTGTTCCTTTACAGAACTGTGAAGGTCATAAAAGTGAGGTTTGATCACAAGTTACTTTTTCATCACTGTCATAACTGCAAACAGTTGTTAAGCAAGGACTACCAGTGTTACCTTGAATCTCAGGCACTTAGTTTACATGGATATGAAGACTTATTCCCTGAATTTGGGAAAGAAAAACACTTTTATGTTTGCAAAGATGACTTTTTTCACCCACCCAAAAATACAAACCAAATTAGGCAAAGCAAAAAGTATTTATTTAAGGGGGAATGAGGTCAAGACTTTTTATAGGGTGTAGGAAATAATGGGGATGTGCATAAGTGTACCAGCGTGCCTTCTGTCCCCATTCCCTTTGTTCATGTCCATGTTTATACTTATACCTGTTGTCTTGTACACATTTGACAAATTAAATAAATAAAAATAATTGTTACATTCCTTACATGTCAGAAAGCGATCAAACAATGACATTCCACCAGTGACAAATTTATGGGTTATATCACCCCCCTTTCGGGTGCGATTCAAGGTACTAATTATGACCTTTAAAGCGCTCCATGGCTTAGGCCCAGGATACCTGTGAGACCGCCTACTGCCACTGGTAG